CTGTGTGAAATCTTTCCATGCTGCCTGTTTACCCCTCCAAGGAAGACCTTAAGGCTAGCTAATCAGCTTAATCATTTTCCCGATAATTTTTTTTGGCAAATAATGATCACAAAGAGACAACAATAAGTGTGCGGTTCTACCATGACTTCTCTCTACCATATTAGTCAGAATTGGTTCACTGCTTTTCTTATCTGAACCTCTTCCACCTCTGGTTTCACTATCTGGTTATAACAAAAATAAAATAAAAAAACCTCGATCAAGGACCACTGTGTGATACAGTAGTACCATAACAAATAATAGCAATGACATACTGTTACAAGGAGGGAAAATAGTTGAAAATAATCTGATATACACATCGTTTAAAGGATCATTGTGATCCTTGGATGTACATACGAGGAAAAAGAAACCAAAAAAATGTCACAATGTTTGTTACCAAGATAACTAATTCCACTACTGGGTTCCTTTCTGGGTTTTGAAGTTCTGAAGTGTGGTATAAAAGGGCTGGCTCTGAAAAGTAGCACAATAATAATTTAAAGAACTTAAGAAGCATATCTCACAGTAATATATACATAATGTCATTGGAAAAAAGGTCTTAGGGTCCACTGAGCTTATCAACAACAGAGCGAAAAATAATAGAATCTGTATGAATACCTACATATGTGCATCCATACATATGTAAGGCAAAATTGCATCAAACTCTTCATTCTAGGAGATAAAAGTATGAGATCTGATAGCTGGTAAAATAACATACATACATTCAGATTATAGAAACCAATTTTTTTCTTTTTCTTTTTTTTTTTTTTATTTTATTGCAGGCAGTTCCCAAGGATCGTCTTGAAGTCTTCACCATCAAAAATCTTTCAAGGCAGTGTTGTCCTCATTTATCCCTTACAAGACCTATGCTCCAAACTTCAGAGCCTGTGAAATCAAAAGATTGGTCTAGAGCAATCTCCCAGCCTCATTCATCCGAGAGCCTAGGATGATATCTGATGTGAGATTCATTTATTGGAAACGTGCACAATTTTCCTTCTCTCAAATTTGTTAGGCATTCAACACAAGCTCAATGAAAAAATATAAAAATCTAAAGTGTTCAGGAACAACCTGTACATAACCAGGATTTCATAATTTTAAGCATTCTTTAACATCTTCACATTTATAATAATACATGTTTTTTAAAGGATAAGCATAAATATTTCTGTACCCATTAGATAGCTAGTTCAATTAGACATGATGTTTGTTCTAATGAACACTAATACAGGACGATCATTATGCTGTACTGTAAGTATTCAAAAAAAGTCCCAACAGTCTTTAATTGAAAAGACCATAATAACTAGATAGTAAGAGTAGCTGGCCATAAAGAAAATCAGCAAAATCAGTACATTCTGGCTCTTACTGCAGCATTCATAGGGTTTACGAATTCTTTGACCTAAACTTGTAGCACACACTTGGGGGATGGAGGGGAGGGGCAGAAAATCTACATCAATTTGTGTAAATACAAATGAACTTCATTAGGTAAGACATTACTGCTTTTGTCTGTCCAAAATCCACTCAATTGTTACTATGCTATTATCTCTCCTGGCTTTTCAAAGTCTTTCAGCTCCTTAGAAAATGTGCCTAAGTGGCCAACTCCCCAGATAAACCACTTTAGATAAACATCTGAATACATCTTCCCCTCTCTGCTCCTTCAGAAGGGGTATTTTACGTACCTGCAGAGCAGCAAACATGGGCTAAGTTTCCAGAGATGATTCAAATGTTTTACACCTTTAGCTGGTGAGACGCCCTAGCCCTGCCACAGGAATTCTCTTGTGAACTACCTGTCAATGCACGTTACTCGTCTACTGAACCAGCACTATGCTTTGTGCTGTAACAGCGTTGTCTTAGCAATAACAAAATGTTCTGGCATAGGCTTTGCTTGGGAATTAAGAGGAGGGGAGGTTAAAAAAAAGTAAAAAAGAGAAAAGCAAAAAGCACCCATCACTTCAGCATAAAGTTCATTTAATTTCATGCTACTAGATGTAGTTTGCCCAGCACAGATCTGTGCAAGTTACTGTCAATATGTCACCACCAGCTGTTACCAGGAAGCCTCAGCTGCGATCAGGGTCCGTCTGACTGGATGTTTTAAAGCAGCACTGACTAGTTTTAAAGCAGTATTCCTCTGGGAGGTCACCAGTGAAGCCCTTCAGAATCTGTACGTCACTGTGATATTATAAAAGCAACGCTGGTTTTAAAAAGAGGTAAGAGGTTCTGATTTTGGAATTTCTTCACTCTGATCCCTAAAACAATCTTCAGTTTGATTTTTTTCCCCTGCCCGGCAAGCTGCTCCTTCTTTTTTCTTTCAAGTATCTTTTAAGACTTAACTAAGCCACACACATTAGAAAAAGAAAGAAAAGAATCTGAATCAGGACGAGTCCTGTTCATCTTCTGATCAGGAAGTGGCAATAATTTTACAGCTATGGTAAGAGAGATAAATAATAAAAAGGTCTATTGTAAACATCACTGAGATAATATTAGACCATTGTAAGGCTATTTAGCTTGTCTACTTCTCTTAAGACCAAGAATCTTTCTGATTATTCTAAAAAGAAGCATTAATCTTTTGGTTTTGTTTTTAATAGAAATGATCTTCAGACTATAAATATAGAAATTACTAGGAATACTGACAAGAAAAGCTGCTTAGATCATTGAAGCTAATCCACTGATAATCACCCCAAATCTATAACTGATGTTGTGGACCCTGCTGGATTGAAGGTGCAAAACATGTCCATCGCCTTTCAAACTGTAATCTGCTGGTAACGGTTCTGCCCAGATTCCTGTGACATCAGTTTTGTTGTAAATGATTTTAAATGGTCCCACGAAAGGCATCATGCTATACCGGA